GCCCAGGCTGGCCTCGAACTCACAGCGATCCGCCTGGCTCTGCCTCCCGAGTGCTGGGATTAAAGGCGTGCGCCACCACCGCCCGGCTACGTTTAGGTATTTTTATTTACATGCTAGAAGGAAGATTACAGATTCAGATCAGCACTCTAAGACCCTACACTGAGGCTATATAAGAAATCAGACTCCCATCTATAAAATGCTGTTTTAGAGGACATTCTAACATTCTATCTGCAGAAGCACAATAGGAACTTCAACCATTTGGCTGTGTTAGTACTTGATTATGACAGCAATGGTCACTTCTTCCTTCAGGTAAAAACAAAGAAACTTCTACTTTAACTTTAGAGAGCCATGTTTTGCTAGAATATCTGGAATATGAACTCAACTTAAGATAGCTTTTTTAAATTTTTTATTTAAAATTGTGGCTGAGAACTGAGGAGATAGGGTAAGTGGGTAAAAGCACTTAATTTGCAAGCCTGACAATGCCCCTAGGGCCCAAGGCAAAAAAAGCAAACTGACTCCCGAGGAATCCAGTTTAGCTCCCAGCAGTGCTGTAAGGCATCTCACAAACACCCGTAACTCCAAGAGATCCAACACTATCTTCTGGCTCTACAGGTACCTGTACACATGCAACATGCAAATGCAAACACACACACACACACACACACACACACACACACACACACACACACACACGTGGCTGACGGTATAGTTGAGTGAGTACATGCTTGTCAGCCTGCGAGAGGCATGGAGTTCTTTCATTAGCATAAAAAAAGTAAACCAAAGCTAGAGAGATGGCTCAGTGGTTGAGAATACTTGCTGCTTTTGCAGAAGACCAGAGTTCAGTTCCCAGCACACACATGGCAGCTCACAACTACTCCTAACTCCAAGTTCAGGGGAACTGATACACTCTTCTGACTGATACCCAAATTCTAAGGGCACCAAGTCATGCATGTGGAGCACAGACATACATATAGGTAAAATCCTCATACACATAAACAAAACAAAAAACACCTTTTATCCATATACAGACAGACTGGCAGAAATCGTGTTTTAGAAATTAGACTGGGCATGCAAAATGGCTCAGGATATAAAGATGGCTGCCATCAAGCTTGACAACCCAAGTCTGAGGCCCAGAATCCACATCATGGAGAGAAATCAACTCCCTCAAATTGTTCTCTGACCTCCACAGGTCACACACAAACACAATGTAATAAAATATTTTTTTAGCAATCAGACTGGCAAAATGTTATAATCTGTTCGGATTTTCTTATTGTAAGGAATCCAATGGTAAACTTATTTAATCACCAAACTAAATAGATAATGCATAATACACAACAGCTTCACTTTTTTTTTTTTTTACCTGTTGCTTCTGGTATGCAGTGTTAGGATTTATTTTGGACTCTAGAAGAAGAGAACCTATAAAACAGGAAAAAAAAACCTGTTACTGCAAAACAGAAAAATTAATTTCCTTTATATACATATGCTTATTTTCTCAGTCAGCTGGATGTATACCTTCAGTTAAGGAACAAGTTTTTAAGAAATGTAACTTAGGGCTAGCCAGATGATGGCTCAGCAGGTAAATTTGTTCTCTCCCCAAGAGCCTGATGACTTGCCTTTGGTACGGGAACCCACTGTGGAAGAGAACCAATCCCAAAGGCTATCCGCTGACTTCCACATGCCCACTTTGGCACATACAGCTATTTCACATACACAAACAAAACAATGAACAAAAAAACTTGTAAATATAATAACTTATAGCTTAAGAAACATGCTTACTGTTTTGGGTGTTTTATTTTTGGTGGGGTCCAAGTCTCAAACATGCTGCACAAGTATAGACAGAACTGTACCTCCCAGTCAAATATACTTCTGGTTTGTTTGTTTGTACAAGACAGACAGGACAATATGAAGAGTGAAGACTGAGAAGCAGTAAAAAAAATCTAACAATTTGGCTGGGTGTGGTAGTACACACCTTTAATCCCAGCACTCAGGAGGTGATGGTAGGAGGCAACCCGGTCTATAGAATGAGTTTCTAGGACAGCCAGGGCTACACAGAGTACCCTTGTCTGAACCCACCCCCCCTCAAAAAAACTCCCAACCTAACAATTTATTAGAGAGCACAAGGCAGCAAAAACAGCAGTGTGAAGCCAGATATTATAACTTTACATTAACTGCAAATATTTATGGAACCATGTTAATGTGGTACATGCATATAATGGATAACAAGCAAACCATTTGATAAGTAACAAATGTACATATTTACATAATATGATGGTATTTTAATAAAAATAACATGTACTGATCTCAAGCAGGTTAATAGACATTTCTGAAATCCTCAGATAACCTGGGATTAATAATGTTCCATATGCTGTGTATTTTACAGAATACTTTTAAAATAAGCAAATAAGGCTCTCAATACAATATGATCAATGTCATGTACAAAGAATGTTTTTTTCGTGATGGAATGAGTTCACATCAAGAATAAGTAACTACACAGGCAAAACTTAAAGCACATGAAACAGAGATTGATTTACATGTCACCATCAGAAGCCTCAATTTTCTTCTATTTTCCTGTCCTTTCTGTTTTTCTTTTAAGACAGTGTTCTTACTATGTAACACAGACATCAAAATTATAATTCTCCTACCTTAGTCTCTTGAATAGCTCAGACTATAAGCATGCATCATTATGCTCATCCACTATTTCTACTTCCTCTGTCCTCTATACATTTTAAGAATGAAACCTGGGGGCTGGAGAGATGGCTCAATGGTTAAGAGCACTGGCTCTTAGAGCACTTCCAGAGGTCCTGAGTTCAATTCCCAGCAACCACATAGTGACTCACAACCACCTATAATGGGATCTGATGCCCTCTTCTGGAAAAAAAATTGGGGGCTGGAGAGATGGCTCAGCGGTTAAGTAAGAGCACTGGCTGCTCTTCCAGAGGACCCAGGTTCAATTCCCAGCACTCAAGGCAATCCCAGTTACAGGGAACCTGGCACCCTCACACATACATGCAAGCAAAACACCAATGCATAAAAAAAAAAAAAAAAAAAGAATGAAATTCTACCTATCCTCTCTCAACCAGTTCTAGTTTATCTGGAGACAGAATAACTAAAAACAAGTTTTGGATTACGAGAAAAAAAAAACTTTCTCTGCAGCTGTCCTTCCTTCTCTCATACAGTACTTTCCTCCCTTTTCATGTTACACTTTACAGTTGCTTCACACACTCCAAATAGTAGCTAGACAACTGACAAAGAGCCAATGCTTACTCTTTCCAAATTCACTTTGTCCTTACATTAAATGTACTTAGTAAGTGTAAGTACATTTCACAACCATTCACTATTTGCTCAGGAGTGCCAAATGAGACCAGTCATACACTAGCATTCACCAACTTGTGACGGCTCCATTTAAAACTTCTTGTCCTTGCAAAGTTTAAGGTCATTCTCTGTAAGACGACTCGACTCATACCCACCAAATCCTATTTCTTTAGTCTTCTCTCCTTTGTATCTCTCCCTACTTCTGGCTTACTGAGGTTCAGATAAATCTCAATTTAGGGGGAAAATGTTTTAATCACCTTCCTTTCCTCCAATTTTTTCAAAATTAATCATAAAAAATCATAGAAAAACTATTGAAAAATGAACAGAATGCAAGCAAAGTAACAGAATGTTTCGAACTTTTGAAAATCGTTCAGAGGAAAAGGACAGGGCTTGGTGGTACTGTGTATTCTCAGCATGTACAGGGCTGAGTTCAACTCCAGTACTGGGAAAACAAACAGACTGCCCCAACTCAACTATCTTATTTAGCATTTTCCCAATTTGTTTACCAGAAAAAAATTGCATTCTATTATTTTCTACTAAAATAATGTTCAGGCCATGTACTTAAAGGTTGAATTTATTTTTTAAAGATTAATGAGGGCATATATGTAATTACATTTAAAATATTTTTATGGGAAAATATAGGGGAGCTAGAGATGGCTCAGCAGAGTTTGTGTTGCCCTTCCAAAAGACCTGAGTTCAAATCCCAGCACCCACCTCAAGCAGCTCACAGCCACCTGCAACTCCAGTTCTAGGCCTCTGCCAGTAGCTGCTCTCCTGTGCACACACCATCCCCACATACCCATGAAAAATAAATCTTAAAAAAAAAAAAATTCAACTTTGGGGGGGGGGGAAATCACATGAGAATTACAATCCCCAAACAACCAAAAGCACAACAACCTGGGTATCTTTTTAAAATAAAGTTTATTTTAGGGCCAAAGATACAGTTTATTGGCAATGCATGCCTAGCAGGTAAGGCTCTAGGTTCAACCCTCAGTACCACAGAAGTTTTACTTTAAAAGATGCACGACATCGAAAGGCAAAGAGATGACCTAAGAAAAATGCTCTAAAATTAGATTGTGGTAATGGCTACAAAATTGGGGTACCCTATGGTTTTATTACATATTTACTGAGTTATTAAACATGTAGAAGCTGCTTTAAAATGTTATAGTGGCCCGGGCATGGTGTTGCATGCTTTTAATCCCAGCACTCAGGAGGCAGAGGCAGGCAGATCTCTGTGAGTTCTAGGCCAGTCTGGAAGTTTGAGGCCAGCTAGGACTGTTACACAGAGAAACTCTGTCTTGAGGTAAAGGGAAAAAAAAAAAAAAAAAAAAAAAAGCTAAAGCGGATGGATGCTAGAGAGCAGTTAAGGACCCAAGTTCAATTCCCATCACCTACATGGCTGTTCACAACCACTTCCAGGGGATCTGACAACCTCTTCTGGCCTCCAAGGGCACTACAAGCACATAGTATGTAATCATATATTTGTAAAATAATTTTTAAAAATTACACCCCCAAAAGTGGAAGGTTATTGGATTTATAGAGAGGAACTGCCAAACTTTAGATAAATGTTGTTAGGACATGAGATTTTCCTACAGAGAAAAAAGACATATGTATGCCACAATTATCACTGACAATTCTGAGATCACAGATGAATGTTAATGGAAAAACAAAGCTACTGAAATCTGTTCTTTCTGTAAAAGATGAGTGCCTTTCCACTGGACAATGGGATTCTAAATAAATCACATGGTGTGACTGCTAAGCAAACTTCACCAAAAGAAGTTGTGGCAGGACCTGTACTTTCACTCAAGACCTAAGGGATTTCCTGGATAAGCTAATATCTCTGTGTTCATATCATCAACTGTCATCAATCAGGCATTAAAGAAGTTTGTCAAGTTGGTGTTTATCACCCAAATGGGATGTTCCAAGTCTTAAAAGGAAAACTAATTCATACACTTTAACAAACACGATAATGTCTTGAAGAATACAGAATATTTCAATCAACTATAAAACATCAGTAGTTGGGATCTGGTGATGCACACCCCATAATTCAAGCACTCGGGAGGCCAAGGCAGAAGGATTACTGTGAAAGTATGGCCAGCCTAGGCTACATAGTAAACACTTGTTTAAAAAAAAAAAAAAGGTGTATGGACTTTGATTGGCACTGTTTTAGTAAAACGAATCACTGGTGGTAGCCAACTCTGTAGATTTTTGGTTGGTTGGTTTCTTGAGTTAAGGCCTCATTATGGTGCTCTGTTTGGCTTTGAAATCATGTATTATGCAAGCCTCCACAAAGTCCTGATTCTTCTGCCTCAGCCTCCCAAATGCTGGAATTTCAGGTGTATGCCATCATGCTTTGCTTACAGAAAAATCTATAAGCAAATATTCTGCTGAAGATATTCTGATTTAATTACATTTTTTTTCTGAAAATTTCCCAACTCAAGTAGGAAAGATGGCTTAGTCAATAAAGTAGTTGCACACAACCATGAAAAACTGAATTCAATTCCAAACACCCATGTAAAAACTCTGGCATAGTAGCACACTTCCGTAATCCCATAACTGGAAGAGTGGAGACACGAATCTTTGGTGTTTGCTTGCTAGCCAGCACAAGGCCCAGGCTGATGAACAAAGAGATCCTGTCTCAAAAATATTGGCACTTGAGTGTTTGAAAAACTGTTTCTAGCTATTACTAAATGTTCTATATTGAAGACTAGTAATAAACATAAAAAGAAAGGTCAGGAGGCGCTGCTCAGTGATAAATGTTGTTAGCTTAGCATGTGCAAGTACCTGGCTGTGATACCCAGCACTGAAGGGGAGGAAAAATAAAGACACATACACCTGACTTGGCAGCTGTTAAAATGAACAAATGCAAAACAGCATGGTAAGACACTGCTAGCCATCTAATAATCCCTACTAACAATTATTTTTCAGATACCAGGTCCTTTTGCATTTTCTTTCCGATTTTCTCAGTAATGTCACAGAACAGAACAACAGAAAGGGGAGAAAACTGCCCATTCAAAGATGAAGCATTTCACTCTCATTCCCCAAAAGCCTGGATAAAATAAGAATATTTAGACCAGTGGTTCTCAATCTGTGCGTCACAACCT